CTGTTTGTCTGGGAGCAGTCCCTTGAAAAGCTTTTACTGAGGGAGAAAAGGAAAGGGGGATGCAGAGGGCATTTCAAACAGAGAAAAAAAAAAAATCGGGGAGGGGAATCCCACAAAGACCTCGAAGAGAAAATAAAAAATTAAAAAAAACCCTGTCCCCTTCGGGTCCTCCCAACAACCTTCTTTATCAGAGGTTCATTGTCAATCAATTAGCCAAGGCAGCAGGGGTCTGGAGGGAGGGGGGCAGCTTGAGAGACAATGGTCTGCCCTGTTGTATTACTATTTAATCACTTCTCCTAAATAAATAAAGCAGCCCTGAGGTGCTGTCATGTCAAGGGAATTTATAACAAAAAAACCCTTCATTTTTCATTGGTCATTACTTTTCCTTCCCTCCCATCCCTGCAGGACTAGAGAGGGTTATTACTGTAGCCTTAAGTTCCATCTTTGTGTTGCTTGCCTTTGATTCCCACTCGGACCTTGCCACTTTCTGGCACTAATTTGTCAGGCCGAACAAAGGAGGGATTTGTACCTCCTGTAAGGTCTCAATTAGGAAAGGCTTCTGCTATATTATGTGCCATTGGGACAGGACACAAAGACGGTAATTACAGGAATTTGCACTAAATGGCTGAAGAATTCACAGCAAAACTTTTCTTCCTCCCCCCTCCTCATCCTTTTCCAAGCTCACCCCTCCCTGCAGCCCTGGGGAAAACCGCTCTCAATGCCCGCAAGCTGTAATTACCAACAGCAGGCCCCCGAGGTTAAACAGCAGCCCACACCGGGAACGGCACGGACTGCCCGCAGGGAGCGAGGCACAAGGAGGGAGGCTCAGCTCGCTGGGCGCCTCCAAAGCCTCCTCGGCACAAACTTTTCCGAGCCAGACAAGTTCCCCCAGTTTCTCTCAGTTATAATTACAACTATTCATTTCTTTGCACTGTGGTAACAGCGACTCTCAAAGACCCAGTCGAAGGGTCTCAGACAGACACAGTCAGTGCCGAGCATCCCCATCCCCACGTACAGGGAATCTCAGTGGCCGGCTTCTCGCAGACACTCCACAACTCACGTTTCTCTGTACAAAAGTGTTTGTCCCATTTTGCAGACTAAAAGGAGACCGCATGAGCACTGGGAATGCCTCACATATATCAGGGAAAGATGCCATGCAACCCTGACATGGTCAGAGCACTTTATTTTTGTGGGGAATACATGAGTGTAGATGAATCATCCCATGTTTAGGAGAGGAAATCCACCCTTTCCCACAGAAAAGTCTGCTCCCATACTATATGATGCAAGACTAAAACCTATTTCACATTGGAGACGTGCATTTTGTTGCCATCCCAAGGCCTGATCCTATTTTTGAGGAGGTTATTAGGAATGCTCACACTTGAAACTCTCCTGGACCTCAGTCAGTACATGAAGCAAAATTTTCTTCTACTGAGCTTTGAATTAGAAGAAATGAGGAGAAAGCAATAAAGTTTTTATGTCACCTGGGACTTTATCCTAAAACAAGGCTGATAATTCTGCTGTTTCCTTGAGTTTCACAAGGCTGTCTGCTGGGTAACACGCTGGGCTGGATCCATCTTGGGGACACTTATTTGACCCATTCCCACAGTCTCCCCGCAGCTTTCACTCTCACAACTACCTTTAAAGGAATGATATGATCATTTTCCAATAGTGTTCAGGTAATCAGTTATCACAGGGCCCAGGCACCTTCACTTTCAGCAGTAGTTTGGTGTTTTTCCCACAAAAAATTGACATGAAGTCACACAAAGAGTTTGTGGCCAAGAACAAAACTGAATTCAGGCAGAAGCCCCAATATGTGACTAAAACTTTAACTGCAGTGAGGTCAACCTTCATGATGCTCCAGCTACCAAGCGGGTGCCATGCACTGTGGAGAGGTGAGCAGAAATACCACCACGGGTGACTACCAGAGAGAGACGAACACAGCTGCACCTACAGCCAGTTCTGGGGGTAACCTAGTACTTCTGGGGCTCAGGTCTTCCCCAGAGGGGATTCAGGCTAGCAGCCAGCATGTCCTGGGCCCACACAGACTCTCCTCAAAGCCATGTGTGGTTTCAGAGCAACAGGAGACTCTCACATGAGACAGCTCCCTCACCCCAGAACAGAGTGAGGAGGAGGCAGGACCCTTATAGCTTCCATAACAAAAGAGGAAAACCCTCCAGAAAAGCTGTTTCTGATACAGCTGACAATTTCTAAGTCAATGTAACTAAAGCCAGCCACAGAGTATGACGTAGGCACAAAGTTCCCAAATTTGCTCCACAAAGGTGCCCTTGCTAAAGTAAAAGGACAAAGAACTGTATTCACATGGGTCCTCTCTACTTTCGCTTCATTCCCAAACTGGAAAAAATCACGCTCTTGCCTCAAACTAGAGTCAGCAGTGAAATGAACCAAGATTTACAACTAAATGCAGAGGCTTAAGGTCACGTTTTCACCCTTGCCTCAAGGGAAGAGCTGACCAGGTAAGCTCATGTCTGAACCTCAGTACTAGAACACATGTTGCCAAATGACAGTGTTCCAGGGAAGCACATATGCTTTGAGGATTCTTCCCAGAAGACCCAGAGCGGAAACTGAGCTCTAAAAACAACTTGGAAAAGACATACTAATAAAAGGAAACAAAAGTTCTAGAACTTGGAAAGTTGCATCGTATCCAGAATTAACACCCCTTTGATTCTGGCCCACCTCTCCAGTGTCCTGAAGCAGGAAAACAGCTTAGCTACCCTCTAAGGCAGCCCTGGCCCATGTAGTGCTGTGGGTTACATGTGCAGGATCTAATGTTTCAGCACTGCTCATGAAACGCAGGTGAACACCTAAATATCCCATAGGCTTTTCTCCACATTTTACAGAGAGCGAAGAAAGACTAACACACCAAAATGTCTACAGCCATAGTGAGAGGCAGGGAGTGGTTATGTGCTGCTAAAACACATACATGCTCTTCCAAGTGATTTTCTTTTCCTGCAGAAGGGGAGCGGGTGCGGATGCTGCAGTCTGGTGCTTACCTGCACACTTGAAGCTCTGAACTGTGAGCCCTCTCTCTAGAGACAGTGTGGTCAGGATGCTCAGGAAGCTGGTGGTCACAGATTGGCGCTTGCTCTTTCTAAGATCATTTCCAAAGGGCCGATCTCCAGGTTTGTTCCTAAGCGTGACCTGTGGGTTCTGAGTTAAACTTCTAGTAGCATTGGCTGCTGCTCTCAGTGCCTCCATCCACTCCTGGGCCCTCTGACAGGTCTCTGCACGCAGGCGGAGGACATCTTGAGGAAAAATGACCTGAAAGCAAGAGTCACAGCCATCCTGAGTATCTATCTGGACTGACAAGCACACATCAACATTGTAGCTCAGCAGAGGATCTTCATCAAGCCTACCAGGTTGGAATGCCATGAGATAAGACCTGTTCAAGACAAAAGTAAATGCTTTCCAGTTATTCTGGACAGTTAACCTATAAAGAGTCCCTGATTTGAGAATATTTTGGTACTCTTTAGTGTTTTCAGTCAAATCCACAGATAAGAAGAGCTCCATGGGCTTCTCTAACAATCCATTGGTTCGAGAACGGTCACTGTTATTTTCACGCTTTGGCACATTCTCCAATTTCTCCTGCTGTCTCGTGAGAGCAGGCACAGAAGCACGCACCACTTCCCAGAGTTTCTGTCCCCAGTCCAAAGCTTCCCAGGAGGACTCCGCTTTCAGTTGTAGCTGTGAGTTGTCTGACAGGACAGCGTCCACCACCTTGGTTTCAATGCAACCAGTAACAGTGACCCTTTGAAAATGCATGAGTGGATACACGGTGGGAAGAGTCTGGTTGCCACTGCTGTCCAAGCAATACAGGTACAGTTTGTATGGGGAGAGCTCAGCGTAACAGGTTTGCCAGTAGCTGTCATTGTCTCTTCTAATGTCTAAGTATCCCTTCTTCAGAATATTTGGGAACATTGGCTTGTGTTCTGGAGGAAACAAAATGGGAACATTAACATTAATTCTTTTTAAATAATCGTTTCAAATTGCAACGTCATTCTGGCTTACACATCTCTCCTACCCTTATGTGATACATCTGGAGGACAGGATCACAGAAACAGCCTTCATCCAATAGGTTATAATTATCAAACACACCCACTGACTCTACATTTGAGCTAACAAGAACACAGCACTTTTTTACCCGGAGGTACCAAAACACTTTACAAAAAGAGGACAGGGAAACAGGACAGAGAAACAAAGCAATTTTCCTGAGATCATCCAGAATAGTGACAGAGCAATACAACACTGCAAGTCTCCCAGAACCTAGTCCAGAAGAGGACAACATTATCAAGTAATCTATTGCCAATTACAGTAGATTTTGACAGCGAGAAACAAATACAAATTAAAACATCTTCCCCTCCTGCCCCTCTCTTTCCCAGGCTCAACTTCACGCTTTCACACACAACCCCCCTGTCCCATGCAGCACAGAGGGAAGGGGAGCAGGAGGTCATGGTCAGTTCCTCTCCGCTGCTCCTTCCTCCTCACACTTTTCCCCCACTCCAGTGTGGGTCCTCTCCAGGGGCTGCAGTCCTTCAGGATTAACCTGCTCCTGCATGAGCTCTCCACGGTCACAGTTCCTTCAGGAAATCTCTACCTTCCCCAGCACAGTGTCCCGCATGGGGCTGCAGGGAGGTACCTACTCCATCATGGCCTCCCCTGGGGCTGCAGCGGAATCCCTGCCCCAGTGCCTGCAGCACCTTCTCCTCCTCTGGCCCTGGGCTGCTCCTCGCACTTCACTCCTCGTTCCTCACGCCACCGTGCAGTGCTTTGCCCCTTTTGAAACACGCTCTGCCAGAGAGATCCCACTGGTGGCTGAGGGGCACAGCTGGAACTGGCCAGAACAGCCCCGGGGCCAGCACCTGGGCACCGCCCCTGGCCTTACCCAGGACACAGAGAAGAGAGACCTGTGCCCAAGGACAGCAGTTTCTTATCTCAGTGTGACCCGGGACAAAAACATTTTGCACGGCTCCGTTTACTAGGGAGGAGCTTTGCTGATTTATGAGAATCAGGCTCAGGACCAGCAGACATGACCAAAAATTAAAGAAAGAGGCTGCCCAGACTCAAATACATATATCTAAGCACCTCAGCGCTTCGGGTGCTTCGGAACAGACCCTTTCCCAAACCTCGGCCCAAAGCAAAGTTGAGGGGAATCTTTCCCAGGAAAACAGCCATACACGAATCACTCTGGGCACCAAAGTGATAGGAATTTAGAAGGAATTATCTAAAGCATTTCTGAGTTTTAAAAAAGGTTTCTGTGCAAAATTTGTTCCACTCTGATTTGTACCTCTTCAGCCACCATTAATACATGCAAACGTATTTTCTCCTTGGACTGGACATGTGGCTCTGTGCAATTTTTGTTGGTCCCTGTATGCTCTAATGCTGACTTAAACACTTGGCACCGCAAAACAACCCAGCCCTGAGGAACAAATTCTTCCTCCCATTTGAATTCTACTTCACCTTTCCAGTAAGGGTACCTGTGAATCTGGGATGGGTCTTGACTTACAAACAGCAGCAGAATTAACACACACAAGAGAAGAAGTTTCTGCCATCAGTCGTTGGTCTCCCTTGGAGACTGCTATTCCCAATGCAGGAGCACGGCAGCCACCTGGGAACAGCTCCTCATCCACTGCCCAGCACAATTAGGTCAAACTAAAATCGGCATCAATTGACCTTAACATGCAGCGTTATAAACTGATCACGGTTTCTGCCTTTGGGCTGACAACATTTGAAAGAGGAATAGGGTAGACAGCTGCAGGCGCAAGATATTTTCAGTGTCTCAGTTTAACCAGTTATCACTCACATTAACAAAAACTGGCTCTGACCAGTTTTAGACATTATTGCCTCTGAGTATGCCTAGGATGTCTCCAACGCAGAGCTAAAAGAACAGAAGCATCTGGGCTTGACGAACCATGGAAAGAAAGACCCAGAGATGAGCCTGTATAGAAGTTACTGCATTCCCACATGTACTGGGCTTCCCAGCTAATATGGCCAGGATTGCTGGCCAAGCTGCTCCCACCACCACCAGCTAATGAGGGAGTCTGTCCATCCTCCCAGCATCACAAGGAAAATCAGGGACTATGAGCATTTGCAGGACTTAGTTACTGTCCAAGGGGCTTCTGATACCAACTGGTGAGAAAGCAGAACTTGGGCTGTAACCTACAGTCTAAGGAGATGTTCCCGTCCTTGGCTGAAAGCATTGCTGTAGTTGGTTGTGAGTTTCGTGTACAGGCAGGAGGATTCAGGACAGCAGTGGTGTAAAAGCTTTGGCTAGCCCTTCAGTGAAGACCAACTTTAAGGATTTATAAGGATTGAGTAGACAAGTTTCAGTTAAACTTAATGAATGTATCTGAGAATTAATTTCTTGATATACTTAACGTGCGTACGCAAACCTCATGGAGGTTACGAAATGGAGGAAGGATGCTACCTCCCCACCCACACTAATGAAAAGGATGCACTGCAATTTCACCTTGCCAGCTTAGCTTCCCCACATCACCCACTTACACAGAATCAAGCCTGCATTTACCACCACGTTCAAAGCACTCTACACTTTACCTACCAAGATTTCCCGCATATATGACTAAAATCATAACAACAATTAAAAAATTGCTAGTTTGGCACTAGGTCTGAAAAGATAGAAAAGAAATCAATATAGCTATACCTTGCTGATAAATAAGCTACTCAAGAGTATTTCAGCTAAATATGAAAACTGAAAGCCTAATCTAAAACTCAAAATGGTGAAGAAAAAGCACACTTTCATAGCTCAAATGGATATATACACAAACGCGCACACACACACACACGCGCTAAAAGAGAACCAATTTTGTGCACCGTACATCTCTGGCCCTGACATTCATTAGTATTTCTGCACTAACTCAAAAGCCATTAATTTCTCTGAAACCCACACTAATCCCTTTGTAGTGCAGATAATGGGCAGCCATTCTAGAGTCATCTTCCTTTTCTATTAATCCAATCAGGGAGGCAGCGCTTCTGCAGCTCCAACTGCAATCTCTCTCGCTTCCATCAAGTACAGACAACAGTTCAAGCTTCTCCATAATAAAACAACTCGCAGCCTTCCCCCAGCCACCCCTCCTTCATCTGCACACAGGTTTGCTTGTCTTTTGTCGAGTTAGAGAAAGGCTCTCTCTCCCTGCCTTTCACAGAGGCACCCTCTCTCCCTCCTTCACCCCACTCCTTCCCTTCAAGCTGCCACGAATCGCCTCCACTGACTCTTGCTCTAACTGGGACAGAACCAGCAGCCAACTTGATTAAAATTCAAACGCCTCATATTGTTTAGGTCAGGGCAATAGATGCTGGCAGAGGCAGGTTGAATCCCTATGCTACACATACACACCTTACAACCCTCTGCTCCTTTATCTCAATGTGCAGTGTGCCAGATAATACCTTTCCACTCAGAGAACAAATGCTACCATTCCTCCATCCACGTTCCGAACAGAAACTACATCTCTTTTCCTCCCTACAGAGACAGGGAGAATAAACTGAGGAAAGGTAAAAAAAGAGAAATAATCACAGCAAATGGCCCAAACCTGAGTCATTTGGAGTTATGGTTTCAAGGGAAGAGGGGGAAGTAGGCAGAGGGAAACAAAGAGAGACTCAGTAGCTGAGGACAGGGCAGCATCCTCCTCAGCATCTCTCCTCTCCTTTGGCAACTGCCCACTTGTCCCAGCTGGGAACGCTGCACCAAGCACACACCTACCCATCTCCACACCTGGGGGCAGCTGGTGCAACCAGCACTGCAGGAGAGGGAGCCCAAATGGTGTCTTGGCATGTCCAAAAGATGTATGCTTCTGAACAACCTACTGTACTTGCATCCCTGTTGGTATAGCAGGACAACTCACCCTGTTTTTCTCCACTGAAGCACTTCCGATGACAGTAATACCAAGTAACTTGGAAAAGAGCAGCATCAGAGATGCCTAGTTTCTGAGGGGTTTGTCTCTCGAGGTGACACTCGTCTCTGAGTTCTCTAATGCTTAGTAAGAGATGAGCATAAGTCACAGAGTTTTTGTCAATAGTCCTCCTCTCTGATTTCCATAGAAATTAACAGACACCTTTGGGATCTAAAATGCTCTCAAATTGGGTTGGCTAGTCACCCACTTGGTGATGTTTGCTAGATCAGGGACAAACTGTGCCTCAGCCAGTGTGGCTCAGACCCACAATGTCCACTTCCCTCCTACTTAAAAATACAGTCTTGTCTTCCCACTTATTTTCCCATCTGGCTCTGCAGGTATATCTCTTTCAGGCAAGTATATCTGATTCCACTTAGTCATGAAATAACAGCATTGATATTCAGCCACAAATTTCCAGTAGATGGTTGTCCTGGAGCCAGATCTGGCTGCTTCTCCCAAGGCTTCACCTCTTTTCAAGGGACCACTACAGCAATGGAACTCATAACTAGGTAGCAGTTTGCATTAATTTTTATAAAGAAAATTTATAAAGAAAACAGCATCTCTCCCCACCAGAAGAGCATTCACCTTTTTCATCTTCCTTAGGCTTCAGGAAAGCTAAAACTGCTTTGAAAACATTGAACTTGCAAACTTTCAATTTTAGATTTATGCATTGCTAGTGAGGTTGGCTTAGCTATTCAACAAAGAAACTCCTCACTGAAGGAACTGCCTAAACAGATGGATAAAGAACCTGAACAAATTGTCCTTTACGTCTTTCCTCTCAGGTGTGGAATTATACAGGAAACATGAGAAACTCTGCTGAAGTCTACAGGATCCTGGCTGCCCAGCCACTCCATCCAATCCTTTTTTGTTCCTCTGCAGCAAGTCAAACACTTGTATAATGTTTGATGAGCAGACCACCAGCACCCTGTGCATACTGACACAGTGCCTGTGCCAAGGGGGCAGTGGAGAAGGAGGCTGGATTCAGTCAAAGTGCAAGACCAACCAACAGGACTCAACTCTGGAAG